TCAATATGGTAATTATTATGTACATTTTATGATTTTGCCATAATCTACAGGGTGGCGCATATAATAGGGCCACTCTTAGGGGGAAGGAATTTTGAAAAACCCTCTGGGGGGTATGTTGGGGGTAAAAAATAATTAATTTCTATCGGAGCAGAATGTTGAATTTCTCCCCAGGGGAGTGGGGGTGCCCCAAATTTTTCAAAAGTTCATCGGATCAAAAAATAATGTACTACAAAGTTGTTCAGAATGTTAAGAAAAATCCCTTAAGTAGGTCGAGGGGTCAAAAACCCCCAAAACATGATTTTTTTGACATGAAACCCCAAAATTCGGAATCAGCATAAGAAATTACCTTAGAATCGATATTTACCTCATCCACGTTTTTTCACAAATTTTGGACAAAAAAAGTGTGAATTCGATCCCTTAAATCCACCTTTATGGGATAGATATGATCATTTTGCATCGGTTATGAGCATAGCCGACATAATTCTGCAAAATGTGCAAAAAATGAAGCACCCTAATATACATATAGGTTTTGAAAGTGGAAATAACGTGATCAGACCGCTAATTATTAATCTGCACAACATTTCAGGCAATTTTGAAATTTTCAAATATTTAATTGAACATGGAGCAAATATAAATGCTACAACTGACGAAAACTATACACCTCTATCTGTGGCTGCTCGGCCTGGTAATTTTCAATGGATTCATTCAGAAGAAAGGTTGTTTCATAAGAGCTTCGTACATTTTACAGGTAACATGGAGATTGTCAAATATCTTGTCGAACATGGAGCGGATGTGAATTCTAGAGATAACAGTCATTCTACACCACTCCATGAGGCTGCCCAATATGGTAATTGTCTATATGTTTGAAAACTGAAAATATCACACGAGAATGGTATGATCGCTAAAGTAGCCCAAGCTAACTGTTTATATCTGCCTAATATTTCAGACGCACTCGAAATAGTTGTGTTTTTAATCACTCACGGTGCAAATGTAAGTGCCGAAGATAACGTTAAATGGACGCCACTCCATAAGGCTGCTCGAAATGGTAATTATTGATTATATGGTCTATATATAGGTTTTGAGCATGGAAATAACATGGTCGGATCGCTACAGAGCTGTAATTTTTACTCTGTCAGTGTGCGCACATAGTAGTGTGTACATGCACACTCTCATTCCAAGAGCGATGCACACAATGCTTGTATTTTCAATGTGCTCGCACCTAGGGGGTAGACACAAACTAGAAAACTAAAAAAACTAACCAGTAAACATATCGAAGCATAGGTGATGACGAGGGTTCCTAGGGGTCGGATGACCCCCCCTAAAATATTTTTAGGAACCCTCAATAATTTTGGAAATGAGGACCTTTTTTTTTTGCTCTTCACTTTTTTTGGCCGAGAAAATTCTTTCGATTTGCTAGGGATTTTCACCTCAAAAAGTGACTTCCAAAAAAAAAAAAAAAAACGATTTTTGTGTCATTTTTGGATTTGCAAGGCAATGTGAAGTAGGAAAATTCTTTCGATTTGCTAGGGATTTTCGCCAAAAAAGTGACTTCCAAAAAAAAAACGATTTTATCCTCATTGTGTATAAATTGTTGACATCGTCAGGGACCCCCCATGGATTTTTTCAGGAACCCCCTACAGAATTTTGCCATCACCCCCCCCCCCCGAAAAAATTTTACGTCATCATCTATGTATCGAAGTGTTGATAAAAGTTTTAAATTTCCTTAGTACAGATCGATATAAAGTGGCGAAAAAATAAGTATGTGAAAATAGGGGGTGCCCATACCATGAGGGGGGGTCGGGGGAGCACCCCACCATGTCAAAATTTGGTCGGATCAAAAAATAATGTACTACAAAGTTGTTCAGAATGACGAGAGAAATTTTTTATGACCCCTGCCCTCCAAGTCCCCCCACCCCCCAGGGCGGGGGTCAAAATAATATAAAAATGAACCCTTGCCCTCCGAATCCGGCAATGGCTTAAATGAAATGTGCGGATAAAATTAGTTATAGTTGGCCATACATTTGAGTGCAAAATTCCTCACCCAAAATGTGAAAAATCGACTTTGTATCATTTTACCCCAATTGAAAGTTGTTGGGAAACTTGGGGTGAATGGGCACGAGACAGATATAATTTCTAGGGTAATTTGGGATGCTGATTCCGAATTTCGAGTAAAAATAAAAAGGAACTTACATCCGTAAGTCTAACTTTTCCGCACTGTTTCCAAATTTCTTTCTTTACCGAACGAATATCTATTTCCCAAGAGATATTGAACATGTACTGGTAATTTCTGAGAGCAATAAGGTTTTTTGGCCAATTAATATACAGTAAAACCTGTATTAATAGACTATTGACGTATAAATAATTCAAAATATGAAAATATGTAGTGTGTGTGT